TGCTGATGCGTACAATTCGCTATAATAGTTTTCGATAGCTTCTAATATCTGAGACTCGTTGTTTGTTACTGTTTCACTTTCTGTTCGCAGTTCAGTGATGGTTTTCCTGTTGTAGTTTCTTTTCTCCAGATTGAAAAAGTACTTTGTTGGACGTTCGCCCTTTTCGACCCATCGACATTTCGATCTAAAAATAGCTGCCCTCCCTTTCTCCTCATAAATAGATTGGAGTTCCATTTTGAGATCTTCATATTCATTTAGGATGTGCGCGATATTGGGAGAGTTAAAGTTGTCGCAAATATTGCGGTCCAGAATTTCGAGCTGTCTCCTAATTTCCAATTCTCTATTAGTGGTCGCTTTAGCTTTCTTTTTACTATAAGCAATGGTTGCCGCTCTGGTTTCCATTTTTAACATTTCCCAAAGAAGGCGTGCGTCTGTCAAATTGGAGTAAAAAGCGCGTGTGCGGGAGTACGTTTCACGGATTTGGGACACATAATGTTCATCTTTCAGTAACGTGTTGTTGAATTTCCAAAGTCCGGGTCCTCTAGACTTTTCAGTTGTCCAAGACAAAGAAAGGTAAATTGCTCGGTGATCCGGTGCTATAGAAGGATAAATTTCGCTTTTCTTCACATGTTGTGTCAGATTTTTGGCAACTAGGAAAAAGTCTATTCTGGATTTCAGTTTTAACACTTTTGATTCATAAGAGTATTTACGTAGCCTCGGGTGACGTAATCTTTGAATATCTACGAGATCGAAAGCGTCCATAGTTGTCAAAATCAGGTTTCGATAATTTGTTGGTTTCCAAATTGTGCCACCAATTTTATCTATCTTTGATAGTGTGCAATTCCAGTCGCCTCCTACAATAAGCGTGGAAATTTCTGACTTGTCGATAAGGCAATTGTTTAAGTTTTGTAAGAAATCTAATTGTTCACTTTGGCTATTCGGGGCATAAATATTCACCAGTGATAATTTTAGAGAATTCAGAACACAAGTAATTAGCACGATTCTTCCAGCCTTGTCGCTGAATGAGTAATCGATCTTATTTTGTACCGTAGGGTGTAAAAGAATGCAAACACCTTTACTATGCCTGGATCCGTGAGAGAAAAATATTTCACCTCCCCATTCGTTTTTCCAAATAATTTCATCTTCTGGTTGAGAGTAAGTTTCTTGCAAGAAATAAATTTTTGAGTTATGATCTTTGAGATATAGAAAAATGCTCCTCCGTTTGGCTTGATCTCTTATTCCCCTTACGTTTAGAGAAAGTATATCGTATTTTGCTTTCTCTTGCATTACAATAAAAAACAAAAAAAAAACAAAAAAACAAGAAGAATATATATGCAAATTTAAAAAAAAAAAATACAGAAGCAAACAAAACTAAAATTATACAAAACGTAAATTAAAGTAGTTTTTGAGCGTTTCCCTTCTTCTTCTCCGAACTTTGCGTTTTTTGTTCCTGTCCCAAATGTAAGTTACAGTTTTTGTCTTCCTTGGCCGATTGGACATTTAAAGATAATCTAAGTCTTCCAGCTCGTTAATTCTGACCGGCTTACCCTGCGGAGAGGTCTTGACATATATTGATCCATCCATTGACCAGACACTCAACAATTCATCATTTCTCCGCATCTCGTTTGCCCGATTCATTATTTTTTTCCTGTACGAGGTAAGATTCTCGTTTAAAAAAATTCTGTCGGCTTGCACTAGAGTTGACGACGAGCACTGCGGGAAGATGTTAGAAATTCTGACATTTCTTAGCTTAGCCCTAGCCCTGTATAGATTTGTTTTGACCTTGTGGCTTATAAATTTTACAATAATTGGTTTGTTACCCTTCCTGTTCAGCTTGTGACATATTTCGATATCCTTTGGTTCCACCGATACATCTAGGGCCTCCGCTAATTTTAACACCACGTCTTCCGTCTCGGTGTAAGCGCATTCTGGTACACCATGTATTTCTATTGAGTTTTTCCTCGTGTATTGTTCTAGTTTGTCTTGAAGATCGTACAATTCACCAATTTCTTCTTCCTGCTCTTGAATTTTCTTTCTTGCTGCCACCAGCTCGCGTTCTACCTCGTTGTACTGCTTCGTTATATGTTCTAGAGATGATTTCAACGCAGTTATATCGTCTGTTTGATGTTGAATTGTGCGCTTGAGATCGGTCATTTCGCTTCTGATTGTTTTGTTTTCGCGTAGGATAGTTGCAGTATTTATTTGAATGTCTACCAACATCTCCCTTAGTTCTGCATTACTGGGCTCACCTTCGGCGTTTATTGCTTCATTTGTCGCTTCCACTAACTCCGCGGCCTCTTCCTCTTGACATTCCGCCATGTTGGCTCTTTTAAGTGTCGATGGTTCTTCTTCCTCCACTGATCCTCGAGCTCCTCGTTTGTGTTTTCCTCCTAATTTCTGCATTTAATACTTCAGCAAGTGTTTAAACGTTGAATTATTATGTCAAGGCGGTATAAAGTTCTCTAAAATTGGTGTAAAGGGACAGAAACTACGCTCCTCACAAAACGTGCCACCGCACACCGACCCCACGCATGCTCTCATCTTTAAGGGAAGGCTCTCTACCGAACTATTAATTAACAGACAGTGACTGTTAATGTTCAGTTTGAGTACATTAGTCTTCGCAGGAATTGAAGGCGATAGCAGCAAGAGTGTAGTTTTAAATAAGTAAATTGTATTGCTTCGGAAAGTTTCTATTTTTCACTCTACTTTTGAATATCTATTTAGTCAGCTGCTCCACTTAGGTTTCCATATGTGGCCTTGATTTATCATGGAATTATTTCATTGGTTGTCTTTATAATGCTATTAATTAAGTGACATTCCTTATACAGCCTTGGTGAACACAATTGAAGTATATCTTGTGAATAATAACCGATAGCAGAAATAATCCAAAACTGTAAGTACCACGATAATATGAGATATCACTGGTAAAAATGTCGCTCCCATCCTTTTCGCTTCACACTTCAAATTCTGAAATTCACCTTCGTTACAAAATATATAGAAATATAGCAAAAATATCCGTATCCAAAGAGAATAATGAGTCCACTGGATTTTATAATCTCTTTCTCGCTTTCTATCACGTAACAAAATCATTCAGATGGCTGTGAAAAGAACCAGATCGATGGACAAAAATTTCTCGGTTAGTGCGAAAAGTTTTAATCCTATCCATACAATGGCTTTATCGGTACATAGAATGTGTGTTTTAGCTACAAATAGATGAGCGGTTAAAGGTTTCCACTTTACCCCACTTTTCTGGCAACACCACTTAGAAGAGATTATCTTTTTCGTCTTGTTATGGAAAGTTTAACTGGAAGAAATATGAGATCAGCGAGGGCCTGCCTACATACTTATCCTGAAACCATTTCATTGGTTATCTTTATACTGATACCATAACAACATCACCCTGATAAAAAGAGATTGAAGTATCTTCTGAAGTGTAACATACAACTTGACAGCCGTCATGATATTGAACAAAAAGATAGTACGTACGTTGACGATTAAATCCACTGGCAAAAAACTCACTAGCGACCTTTTTTCCCTCACAATTTAACAACTGACATTTGTTAATGCTAATGTTATAACATAGAATACCATCATTTTTTCTTTGATCACAGACTTAATTTGTTAGTGGGGGTGATAAGAAAAAAGATTAACGGGCAAAATCTGTCTAAGTGCGAAATGGTTTACTGTGTTAAGCTAATCTGATTTAAATTTGCATATGACAGGTGTCTTTGTACAACAATAAATGTACGACGGTTGGTTTCGCTTTTTGCCACTTTTGGAACATCTTCAGGGGACATTATTTGTTCGTCGTCCAGTCATGGAATACCAAAATTACACCAACTCGACGTCGGAGAAGATCTGCCCACAGGCCTCGACTTTGTTGAAATGCATCAAAACAGTCGCTTACTCGTCGATCATGTTAACTTCGCTGCTTGGAAACTTAGCTGTAATTGCAATCGTGTCAAAAAACAAAAGGATGCGGACGACAACGAATTACCTGATCGCTAACATGGCCGCTTCTGATCTATTAATCTCTGCCTTCGCAGTACCACGAGAACTCGCGCAAATTTTTGCTGGTTCAAAGATATGGCTTCTCGATGGCTTAGCAGGTTCAATATCATGTAAGCTGGTCTACTTTCTCCAAGACATTTCAACGGCAGTATCTATACAAAGCCTGGTAGCCATAGCAGTTGACAGATATCACGGAGTCGTCTTTCCATTCCGTCCTCCAGTTATTACATCCAAGGTCTGTAAGGTAATAATTGTGGTTATTTGGATGGTGGCGATGGGTCTACACGGAACTTATTTCTATACCGCGCGGCTGGTAAAGAGTGGCCAAAAGTGGTCTTGCACTTTTTGCTGGGCACCGAAGTTTGAAGAGCATACACAAGAACGATACTTTCTTTTCGTTTCCATCTTTTTAATTTTCTTTCCCCTAATTGTGATTGTAACTTTATATGCACTGATAGTTATAGAACTAAAGAAAAAAGATCCTACTGAAAATGGAACATCAAGAATAAGGCGACAGAGGCATAAAGAAAACAGAGCCATTGTCAACAAAATATTGATCATTGTCTTTCTGTTCATCTTGTGCATTTTTCCAATAACTATTTTAGGACTTGTTCATTATTTTTTGTGGGATGGGCGAGATACATGTGCAACGAGAAAACTATTTACAGCCATGAAATTCTTGCTTTATTTGAATGCCTCTTTAAACCCGTGGGTTTATATAATATTAAATGAAAGGTATCGGAAAGGATTAAAAGTTTTAGTTAACTGTCGTTTACGTAAACAGCCTTACAGAAATGAAATAGAGATGAATTGAATGTTTTGTAACCGATAAGTTACTTAAGGTAAATAAGTTTAAGAGACAATTATTCAATAAAGTAAATAACACCATTAAATAAAGTAATATATTCAAGTCTTTGAAATCTCTGCACCTCATCGGAGAGACCTGGATAAACAGCAGAATATGGCCCCCTAAGTGCTGGAGCGTGTTTATGCTGTCAGTAAGAACAAATAATGACATAGAAGGCTGGCATCACGCCCTGAACCGAAGAGCTGCTGGCCGCTGTGGACTTCCCTTCTACTTGCTTGTGTCCCTGCTACACAACGAGGCCCGCCTGGTGTCACTGCATATTCGGCTTGTGTCTGAGCGCAAGCTGAAGCGGATCCAGAGAGCCGTCTACCGCCAGTTACAAAGACGGCTCTTTGAGCTGTGGGAGGCATTTAACAAGAGAGAGAAATCCCTTAAGCAATTACTGAAAGGCTGCGCAAACATCAATGGGCCAGTGATCGCCTAAAGTACTTGAAGGACTAGCCTGCGAAAACATCCGTTTCTCCTCGCTCTACGCCACTGGGGACGTTTCGCGCGGAGGAACGTCTGCGACTCAGCGGCAGAAATTCCATACTGATGACGTAATCAATGTTTATATAATAAATCCGGTAGTCATAGGGTTCCAAATACAAATTTGACCAATTTTACGTGTCTTTCTGGTCGATTTTGGTAAAGTTTTGTGTTCATCTGCCAACGAGCTCCAACAAAACTCAAGTGCTTTTTCAAGAGAAGACTATATTCCACAAATATTGGCTGTTTTGTTTGAGATTCTTCCCCGGGGGGGAGGGGGGTACTCCCAGACATTACCTATACGGGTATGTGCTGCCCAACAGGGTCGTGATTTTGAAGCTCCTGATTTAGAACGGGGTACCCATTTAAGAGGCGTTTTCTAGAACGGGGTATAATATTTCGAACGCACGATTAAGCTCCAGTTTTGTAAGCAGCCATTTGAAATTATTCAAGGACAGATTGCTTAACAAGCAAACTGTTGTACTCTTTGCACCCTAGAACGGAGTATAAAAAATTGGCCCATTTCTAGAACGGGGTATCAGTTTTAGGGCGAATTCTAGAACGGGGTATCAATTTTAGGGGAAACTTTTTTTAGAACGGGGTGCCAATTTGGAGTCCCGGGCGGCACATACCCACCCAAAAAATACCCAAATGCCCCCCCCGGGGATTCTTCGCGTTTACATCCCGGGTTTACATTTGACCTTTGTGGCCTTTTGTCTTTTGTCTGTCATACGTAAACAATAGCTAAAACAATGTAACTACTCCGTCGACCAATCAGCGCTTCTAACCGGATTCCGGACAGATTTTACGTCATCAGTATGGAATTTCTGTCGCTGAGTCGCAGACGTTCCTCTGCGCAAAACGTCCGCAGCGGCGAAGAGCGAGGAGAAACGGATGTTTTCGCAGGCTATTGAAGGACTCATGAACTTGATTTATTTCATCATTAGCTACAGTTGTATTGTAGATGATGTTAAGGTATTTTTAATAATCAGTATATCATTAGAAATCTCAAACATACAGTACATTAGAAATCGCAAATCCAGTAAGTAGGTTAAGCAAAATTGACTAGTTTAAAACTTAAAGAAATAATCAGTATATAGTATATTATATATATATTATATATTATTCCTTGATTATGTTTAATCAAGGGGCGGGTGTCACTCGGACATCTCACATGTCCCCGCTTGTAATAAGTATCAGTTAGGATTTCCTTTAAAATATATGAC